TGCGTCCCGTGTAACCAATCAACATGTGCACTGATTCTGCGTCCCGTGTAACCAATCAACATGTGCACTGATTCTGCGTCCCGTGTAACCAATCAACGTGCACTGATTCTGCGTCCCGTGCAACCAATCAACACGTGCACTGATACTGCGTCCCGTGTAACCAATCAACATGTGCACTTATTTGCTCGCAGGTCAAGAGTCAACACAAAGAAAACTTACAAAGAAAACTTACAAAGAAAACACAGAATCCTTTTCTTAAGAAAATGTCGCATTTCAGGGTCCTGTGACTTGCCTGCTCCATATCAGCATTGCAGGGAAATCTGAGAGAACTAAAGGCTGGGGGGTACCTTATGGTGTCTATGAGGGCTGTCTGGCTGTGACCTTGACCACTCTATTCATCCCTGTAAATAGATGCTTTCATAACCTTTCTTTGATATAGTATAGAATAAAACCTTATTTTTCCTGTAGGCCTTCATTGCTTTAATTCAATGAGCTGTTAAAAGCGCAGATTCACAGTCTCCAGTCCAAACCTAGGGATGCCAGCCTCTGAGGAGGGCCAGGAAGGTCCATTTGGAAAGGGCACTTCTGGGGCATCCGAAGCAGCTGGTGCTCTGGGCTCGCAGGCACGCAGCCCGCACTCAATCCAAGGCGTTAGTGACACCCACATACTCCCTCCTCCAGGGGCTGCGGGCTGCACCCTGTCCTGTGGGTCACCTGTCTACTTTTCACTCCCTATGAAGATGGCCTCTGCACCCAGCTCTCATGTGTATGAAAAACGGGAGGGGAAGAGTTGGGAAGGGAAGGGGGAATGCTATGGGTTCTGTCCCCTCCAGGCTGGCTTCCAGACTGAGGGGCCAGCAGCTCATCTGGGTGTTCTGATAGAGTGCGGGAAGACCAAAGGCAGATGGGGGGGGGGCAGCTGTCCGGTGGGGGGCTGACTGTTGGTCATTAGAGGGCCAAAGCAAGGCACCCCCTCACAGACTTGCGCTGTCAACACACGATGGCTCAGAGTAAAGAGCCAGAGCAGTGCAGCTGGCGGGACTTGAAGGCTGAACATCTTTCACATATTCAGAAACAAATTTTATCAAGCAGCCACTGACAGCATAGGAACAAAAATGTCTGATGCCATCAAACATTTGAATAATAAAAAACAGTTCCTAGGGGCTGGCCGGGTGGCACAGGGGTTAAGTTTGCACGTTCTGCTTCTCGGTGGCCTGGGGTTCGCTGGTTTGGATCCTGGGTGCAGACATGGCACCGCTTGGTAAAAGCCATGCTGTGGTAGGTGTCCCACATATAAAGGAGAGGAAAATGGGCACGGATGTTAGCTCAGGGCCAGTCTTCTTCAGCAGAAAGAGGAGGATTGGCAGTAGTTAGCTCAGGGCTAATCTTCCTCAAAAAAAAAAAAAAGTTCCCAGCCCTGCCCAGATTCTAGGCTGGCTGTGGCTCCATCGAGGAGAACACTGCCCGAATGAAATAGAGCACAAGCCACGAATGGAGCCACATGTGTAATTTTAAATTTCTAGTAGCCACATTTAAAAAAGTAAAAAGAAACAGATGAACTTATATTTTATTTAACTTGATATATTTAAAATGTCAAATATCATTTCAATATCTAATCAACATGAAAATTATTAATAGGATATTTTACTTTTTTGGTCTTCTGTCTTTGAAGTCTAGTGTTTAATTTACACTTACAGCACATCTCAATCTGGACTAGCCTCATTTCAACTGCTAACCTGTCATTAGTGGCTACTCAATTGGATAATACAAGTCTGAGAATTTAGCTTCTCATGTAGTTTTCCTACATAGGCAGAGAATTTTCTGGGCAGGCTGCCATCAGTAGGTGGCCCTTTGAAAGTTATACCTAGTTGTTATTGTAAAGGAATAAATTGGCCTTTGGGAGTTTTGTACATCAGGCTTTTGTGTGTTTGGTTGGTGAGAGTCAGTACCTCTGACTAACCAGCTCTGGGATACTACGGGACCTGGTTCTTCATTGTGTAAGGCTGAGAGGTAGAAGTTTGACTGGTGAATCCCAGGGGAATTCCTGTCTGTGGGAACATGGCTGTGGCCAGCTGACCTTCCCTGCCCATGTCTGTGTGCTGTAGGCTTTGAGCTCCCACCGTTCTGGGGGCTTAGTGTACCTCTCAGTTCAGCTAATACTTTTTTGGGTAGCATTATGGTTTCCCATCCAGTCAGTTATGAATGATCACAAGTAAAAATCTCTTTATCACAGATGCTAAGAATATTGGCCTAATGACTTCAAAAGTTAGACATTTTTCAGCTTTGCTGCCCAGTCTGAGCAGAGCATTTGGGTTCACCTGTTTGCTGTGCTGGGTAGCCCCACCTAAAACACTCCCAGAACTTTAAAGTGACTGTTAAGGAGAAGGAAAGGAAAGGACAAGAAGGAAAACCTCCATCAGAGTTCCTCTTCCTCCCCGCTGCCTGCCAGTCATGCTTTCCCACCAGCATTCCGGGGGGAGCGTGGCGCCGAGTGCTTCCTCACGGCTCCATTTATCAGACCCTGTCCAGGGGGCCCTCGCATCTCCTCACATGCCAGGCTGTCCTGTGAACCCCCTATTGAAGTCACTCCCTTCTGCTGTTTCCTCTCCTACTCCCCTTTCTTGCCACCTCCACTTTCTCTCTTCCCTAGACCTCAACACTTTCCCTTCTCTGAACTCTGCTGCCGTCCCCTCGCACCTTCATTTTTCCAGGGACACATTTGTCTTTTTCTTCTACCTGCTTGCCTTAGCACTGCGCTTCACAAACTTGACTCATCACAAGAATTACCTGGCTGCTGGTTAAAAATACAGGTTTCCTGACCCCACCCCAGAGGTTGGTAGGCCTGGAGGGTGGAGGCGGGAATAAGTATTGTGATAAATCCCCCAGAGCGTTTGAGGACCTGTCCTAGCGTGACTGGGTCTTCATGACGGCAGTTTTTCATGGGCATTGCTCTAACCATCCAGCTCGCAGAGGGATGGGGAGAAAAAGGCAGCACGCAGTTGTGCTGACTGCTTCTGGGCCGTTGTTCCGTCGCCGCCTTTGGAGGTTCACTGCATCCCTCTTACTCGCCGGAGTGGACCCTTTGCTCTGGCCGAAGCAGGGGAACTCTTAGAGCAGGCTCAGGCTGCCTCTGCTGGAACCTCTGGAAGACTCTTCTCCTGGTCCCCACCTGCAGTAGCCCCACCCTTCCTCCAAAGACCCCTTGAGGCCTCTTCTCCTCCGGGACCTTCCTGATCCCACATCCTTGTTTCTTCCTTTCTTCTCCCACACCTTTCTATGTGGCACTTCATTATTTCTGCCTTGGGTTATAATCAGTTTGTGTGCTTGTTTTCCTCCAAGCCTGTCTCTGGAGGGGAAGGCTCCCCTTTCAGCCTCTTATGCATCCTCCAGCACGGAGGGCCGAGACTTGCCCAAAGAAGTCATCAATCAGCAGTGCTCAAACTAGACTGAAAAAAAGACAAGCCTCCCCCCGACCTCCCTTCATCCTTGGCCAGGCGTGCTCTGTGATTCGTAATGCCAAGCCACCGCAGAGGCTCTGGGAAGAAAAACGAGCGAATAAATTGGAAGCTGAATGGGTAAATAGACTGCACCAAATTGCATGAATTCAATAAGCTAAGTTTGAAACAAACCTACTCCGGATAATTACTAATATATACCTGTGCACCATAGGAAGGGAGCTGCATAATGTGACAGGCGAAGTCCTTATTTACATCTGAGATTGTTCCATGAAGTTTTGATTTCCTTTGATTACAAGCTGGTATGTAATTTGGAAACATTACCAAACACTGTCAGTCTTCAGCATCCCTTTCTCCTTATTTCCCTCCATCCATGTTGAGGGGAGAAGAGAAATTAACAGATTAAAAGACCCCCACTAACCTAGATTTTGCATCTGTTTCACAGTTTCTATGCAACTACGTGGGAAGAAACCCACGATTGTTTTCCTGTGCACACGTGACCGTGGCTGTAGAACCTGAGAGCCGGACACGAGGGCGGCAGGCAGCACACCACGCCCCTGGGCTGCCAGGGCTTGGCTGAGCTTTCACGGTCAGCTACGAACTGGGTTCTCAGGCTTCCTCTGTCTGGGGTCACAATTCCTTAAATAAATGTGTCACTGCAACTGACAGCACTCCACTTCCTCACCTCCTAAAAGGCAGCAGGCCATCCCACTTACCTATCATCCAGGTGAAGGGTAATAATGGAGCTTCTCTCTTAGGCTCTGTGCTGGGCACTCGACATAATCATCTTTCAGTCGATGAAGCGGACTCGTTTAAGTAATTGGTGGTAGAAAAAGTAGAATCTTTCATTGCTCAAGAGAAACCTCAAAGCTTGTGCAGTATCTTGGATGTTTCAGACAACCTTGAGGTTGTAAAAGATTAAAATTCTTTCCTTTGCCCTGATGGGATGATGATAATACTGACAGCTAATGGTTTAGGGGTACCTACCATGTGTCAGCATTGCTGTAACTATTCTACGGAAATCAGTTTATTTAATCCTTCCAAAAGCCCTGTGAAGTAGGACCATGATCGCTGTTTTACAGGAGAAGAACCTGAGACACAGTGAGGGTTAAGTCACTTGAAGGCCACACAGCGAGGAAATGGAGGAGCTGGGAGTTGATCCCGGCAGTCTAGTTCTAGAAGCCGTACTTTTCTCTAGCTCACTCTTTTGCCTCCCATGAAAGAAACTTAACCCATGTCAGTGGAAGACACCAGCTTGTCAGGACTTTCTCTCTTGGTCCTCTGAGAGTAGCCTCTGGGGGCAGCTCATGGGCCGTGCAGTCGCTCCTCGTTCTCTCATTTCAGCACAGCTCCAGGCTTTAGAGCCATGTATCTTAGCCCCCTGCAGCCGGCCAGACTCCGGTTTCTGGGAGGGACAGCTTCTTGGTCATTCAGATTGCTGTAGGACAACTGCTCTCCAGCTCTCAGGTCCCTCAGTGTCCCTCTGTCCCCAAGGGGTCCAGCTGTGTCCTTTGGCAGTCCCCCTTCCCCCAAGACCTCACCCACCTTTAAGCCAAGGTCCAGCTCCCTCAGTGAGCGCTGGATCTCTCTGGTGAGGATGTTCATCCGCTCACACTCCTGGAAGGCAACCACGATGTAGGGTGTGCGCTCCTCCACTTTGGCCATCAGCTCTGAGATGTTAAACTCGTCTGTCACTCGCTCCAGTATTTCTTCCAGGACAGCCTTGACCTGTCACACGAGAGGAAACACAGGGTTAAGAAGAGGTTCTAATTATCCAGAAGGATTCTTTTCCCCGGCAATATGGCACTGAAGATGCCAGCCATCCATCACTTCACCATACTCTTGCCCACTTGCTTATGTCAAGTGGGTCAGGGATTGAGGACCGACCATAGATGGCCTCTCCCTAGGCTGGCCAGCTCCTTGTGACTTGTGTGAGCAGCTTTAAAAGATGAATGCAGAAGCCTTTCCAGGAACTGGGAGTTGGAAAAACCCAGGAACTGACCTAGTTAGCTGTGGAAATCAAACTAGAGAGGCACAGGATAGACTTGGCCAAGGGTGGTCATTCTGGGCCACGTAAAGCTGCAGCGATGAGCAGCAGTGAGGAATATGTGTATATATATATATACTCTCTTCTGAGTTTCCATGAGCCTGTACTGTGGTTTCTGTCCTTGGTCATGGAAGAAGCATCCTCATCTATCATGCGAACCTCCTCTCTCACCCCATGATGCCTTTACCACACAAACTGTCAGCTAATTAGACCAGGGATGCTAAAACAACCAGGGTCTCCTGCTGGAAATTGGAATCGAGGCAGCGAGATACCGGGTTATTTTGGGGTAAGCACTCCAAGGCTGTCTGCCATTTTGAGTAAACAAACAAGCCCAGGAGGTCTGTCAGCAGATAAAGAAAAATGAAACCAGTGCAAACATAATAGAACATGTGGCCAGCAGAAGGATGGAGGGAGGGAGGGAGAAAGGGAGCCTGCGAGAGAGCGCCAGCCCTTCCTGGATCGTGAGAGCTGAGCTCCAGCCACAATGGATGGTTGTTTTTCTGTCTGCTCATCTCTTTTCCCTTCTTCTGGTAACAGGTTCCTATCTCCTTTTGTGAAATTACCTCTTCTCCGTGTTTTGGGGGTACAGTCATTGGACCTAGCCCTCCCTTGACCCAAATTAGACCAATCAGATGGTCTTTCCCAGTGCAATGACAATTTGAATCTCGAGCCTAGGATTCAAGGACAGAAAGTGGCTGGAGCCACTGCCAGGATGGAAGTGTGCTGAAAGGACTGTCCACTCTTCTTTTTCCCTGAGACCCTAAAGCCGCTGTGGTTTCTATCCTTTCTTAGGTTGATTCCTTTGAGATAGTGAGCTATTTCTTGCCTATTTCAGCGAAAATGTTTTCTGTTGCTTGCAACCAAAGAGCCCTGACTGAGGTAATCCAGTTCTGTTATGAGTCACCCATGTGAATTTAAGCAAGTCACTTAGGCCTCAATTTTTCCATCTATAAGAATTTCTAAGGACATCTTTCTCCACCTGCTCCCTCTCCCCCACTCCCAGGGCTGATGCGAAGATCAAATCAAAGGAGTTGATGAATGTGGCAGCCTCTGAAAGCTATAAAGAACTATATAAATGTACGAGATTATTAATATTCACTTTGCCTTGTATTGTTAACAGACAATACATTCTCTAGGAAAAGAGCTGATGTTAGAAAAAAAGAAAGTAAAAGCTCATCACCCTGTCACAAATGGGTCTCTGGTGCTGTCATAGCAAAACCTGGAATGGAATTTTAATAGTACCTGAAAGGAGCTGCTGGGGTAGAGGACAAATGGCTAAAATTATATTACATTCTGTCTCTGAAGCTGAATTTGAAGAGACAGCCCTATCTCAGTGAGCTGCCATGTGGACATTATTCACAAAGAGATGATGAGATAGTGTGGAGGCATTGTTCCAAAACATGTTGAATGTGGGGAAACAGAGTTCTACTCTGTCACTGATCAGGCCGGAGGATTTGGAGACCCGGCCCGACGAGGCAGGACTGCTAGGAAAGGGAGCAGATCCACAGACATCCAAGACCCTCTTTTGCTCAGAGAACTCCAAAGCCCCCTTCATGTGGGAGGAGTGGATTCCAAGGGATGTGGTCTACTTTATTTTTATATGCAAACACCTCTGCTTTTTTAAAATTTTGGGGAAAGCAATAAGTGCTTAGCATAAAATCCAAATATTATGGATACTTATGATATTAGAAGTAAAATCCTCCCACAATCTTGCCTCTTCCCTCAAAGGGGGAAAAACAATGTTAACTGTTAATTTGGGGGGTTTATAATTCTGCAGATGTCCTTCAATGCATATAACTCTACCCATCCATCATCCATCCATGTATCTATCATGTCTATCTATCTTCCTTTCTGCCTTCCTCCCCACCCCACCCCCACTTTCTCTTTCTTTCTATTTATCACTAATGGAATCATATGACACATAGCTTTTCCAGCTTGCTTTCTTTTCACCTTATGATAAATCTTGGACACCTTCCCTTGCTAGTACATGTGGATTTGCCTTCTTCTTTTTAACAGTATATGTTATTTCACTGTTTTGGCATACCATAATTTAATACGTCATTACCCTATTGGTGGCTATTTGGTCTGTTTACCGTTTCTACTACTTAAAACAATCTTGCCATAAATAAATATGTATGTCATAAAATCTGTGCACTTTTGAATTTTTCCACTGGCTGAATTCCTAGAAATAGAATTATGAGTAAAAAATATGAACATTTTTAATTTTAGTAGCTGTTGTCAAATTGTCCTACAATTTAAACCTCTACCAGCAGAGATGACAATGCCTGTTTTCTTATGCCCACACCACTGGATGTTATCACATTTTAAAATCCTTACCATTAGGTGAAAAATGATATTTCACTTAGCTTCACTTGTGAGCGACGTTGAGAATATTTTACTATTTTTATTGGCCATTTGTATTACTACGTGAATTCCTTTGGTGGTCTTCTTTCCCTTCCTCTCTTCTCCTCTCTCTTTTCATTGGTAAGAAGTCTGTGTGTGTTAGCAGAATCTGCCCAGAACCAGATAGGTTCTCCTGGTTTGTCTTTGACTTTGCTCATGGTGTTTTTGCTTTGCAGATGTTTTACATATTTTAAGCCATCAAATTTGTCAATCTTTTTCTTTATAGATTCTGAATTGCTTTTCTTTTAAGGTTTTATAATGCCTTCCTCTTTGTAAGATCATAAAAGCCTTCACCCAACTTTTATTTCAGTACTCTTTCATTTAAATATTTTAGCTATCTGAAATAGACTTTGGTATAAGGAGTTAGGGAACCTGCTTCACTTTTCTCCAAATGAGCCAGTCGTTCAACACTGAGGCAATCCAGTAGTCAAGGGCAAATGAGAGAGACGACTACCTCACCACCAAGGAAGCAGGAAGGGTGGACGTCACACCGGAGGCCAGCGTGATGGGCCGAATCACGTCCCCCCTAAATTCATATGTTCAAGTCCTAACCCCTAGACCCTTAGAATGTGACTGCATTTGGAGAGAGGGTCTTTAAAGAGGTGACTGAGTTAAAATGAAGCTGTTAGGGTGGGCCCTAATCCAATCTCACTGGTGTCCTTACAGGAAGAGGAAATTTGGACACACGGAGAGAGATGACAGAGGTATGTGAGCATAGAGGAAAGGCCTCGTAAGGACACAGTGAGAAGATGGCCATCTACAAGCCAAGGAGAGAGGCCTCAGAAGAAGCCAACTATGCCGACACCCTGATCTCGGACTTCCAGTTTGCAGAACTGTGAGAAAATAAACTTTTGTTGTTCAAGACACCTAGTCTGTGGTACTTTGTATGGCAGCCTAGCAAACTAACCCCATGATTAGTGGCAGATCCATCTGCCCAAGAGAGGCATTTGGGGCCATGCAGGAGTTCTGGCTCAGGTCATCAAACAAGCCCATGGTGCGCCCTAGAAAGAAAACCCAAGCTTGGGTTGAAGACTGTGGTAGATTGCTGATGTCTCTCCCCCCGACCCTACTCCTGACTTTTCTCTCTCTTTCCTAGGCACATGGCAGCCCAGCTATGCACTAAATTTCCCAAGTTCTCTTCCATATAGATGTAAACATGTCGGTAGACTTGGGCCGATCGTTCATGAGCGTATGTGGAATGTGCAACCTCCGGGTCATTTCCGACTTAACAACACAACACTCCATCTGCTTTGGCTCTTTGCCGCTCCTCTTGAGCTGTTCTGTGGATGTGGAGGAACAGAGCTCATGAGAACATGTGAGCTATATGAGAAACAGCCTATCATGGATGGTCCAAATCTACTGACATGTCTGCATCTATATGAAAGAGAAATTGGGAAGTTTAGCGCATAGCTGGGCTGCCATGTGCCCAGGAAGGAGAAACAAAAGCTGAGGGGGGTGGGGAAGTGGGGGAGGAGACACGAGCAGTCTACCAGGTACTAGTCTGAGGGCAGAGGTATAGCACAACTGACACACACACAATAGCCTGCACACCTGTTGCTTCTTGTACAGTGTGATGCATAGCAAGTGACCACGGTTCATTCATTTCTGCAACGCATACACAAACACACACACACACAAAATTTCTTGAGTTGGACAAAGGGGATAAGGAAATGACAAGAACTAGAAGCTTCTTTGAACCCCACCTGAAGCATCCTAAATCTATTACTTGTGTAGTCCCAGCCTTTTTCGTTTTTAGAGCCAGGAATGTTTTTCATTCTAAGTGGTTTGGATTCTGAGCAACATAAAATTTCTTCTTTTCCTTTTGCTCTCAAATTACATCCTATGCATCAAATAGTGGGACAGGCTGAGAGATGTGATTTGGAGCAGCTTTCTCAAAGTATGCTCACCCGCATCAAAATCACTAGGGTGCAAATTCCTGGGCCTGACCCTAGACCCCAGAATCAGAATTTCACGCTCCCTAGCTCACTCAGAGGCACGATGCAATCTGAGAACTGCTATTTTGATGACACCACTCCATACCTTTAAACAAAAGTCCAGCTCCTTTAGTGTCAGTTTGGTTTCCTAAAATCCATCCCTGGAGCCTACAGCTTGATGACCACCCAGGGTTCCTAAGCCTTAATCTTCCAAGCGTATTCCTTGTAAAGCCAGTGGAATCTCCATGGAGGAATTAAAGGAATCCAGGCAGGACTGTGGGGTGGAGGTGGGAGAAGGAGGTACGTCTCTTGGAAGCTGAATTAGCTCGTCCTGGGAAAAGTTTCACTGTGGTGCCCATTCCTTTTCTGCCCTCTGCTACGCCCACACCAGGAACACAGCCTTCAGATTGCCTCTGGTTGTTCTAAAACCCATACCTCATCCTCGCCTGCCTTTGCACCCATAATTTCCCTCCACCTTCCTGAAAATTCAGGAAGTCCTGTGTTTGGTATCACGTCACTGAGTGTTAGAAGACTCTGATTAAATGTCATTCATACAAAGAGAAGAAGGCATTTTGTCTTAAAGGAGTGAGCATCATTACTTACTTTGCCATAGAGTCATGAAGTCATCTCAAGATTCCCAAACCACCATTGTTTGGCGCTGCCCTTTTATTTGGTTTGGCAGACAAACTGAATAAAACTGCCTTCAAGTGGACTAGGAAAGCAAACTGCCAAACCCATGGCAGGGACTTCCTATGATTTAACCCGATGGCCAGAGTGGTGACATGACTGGGGAGCGACTGGGGCTCCTGGAGGTGAAGGGCAAGCCCATCAAGGCTGGACCGGCTCTGTGCAAGGGGAAGGTATGCACATGTGGTCTGTGCTGTGTACGGCCAACACGGCCAGTGGGAGAAGCCTCTCCCTCTGCAATCCTCGGGCTCCCCAGAATGGTCTCAGGCAATCCCTCTATATACCTTTTCTTCTCTTGAGGCCCCAGCTCCATCTCCAGCGTTGCTGTCCCAGGGCTGCAGCTCCAACACGGTGCGAAAGAGCTTTTCTGAGGTCTGGGTCAGGAAGCCAATCTCCGCGTTGGGGTGGAGGCCATAGAGATACGGTGACTCTGGGGGCAGCTCAGCATCAATGTACTGAAAGTCAAGGGCAAGCTCACTTAAACACAAACCAAGATTGCTCACCAACGCTGGCTGACGTCAGCATGCTCTCCACCCACTAGTGTACATCCTTTCTCGACACCACCCATTTTTGTATGCTGGGCCAGTTTTCCAGAACCTCCACATTCATGACATCATTCTCTTTTTTAAGAAGCTTAGCCAACTTTATCCATCGCCTGTCTCACCCCTCCCACCACCCCCTGTCAGACACCTGTCCCTCCACACACGTGGAGGACTTCTGATTCTTCTAGAAATACTAATGCCTACCTTTATTTTCACCCAAGCTCTTCTCGGATCCCAACCCTTTTCCTCTTAAATTCCTATTTTCTCCCCTCTGTTTATCTAAATCAGGGATGACAAACCTGAACACAAACACGGGACCATGCATGCAAAATAAAGGTATGGATGTGGCTGTAGGGTGAGGGGAATTTTGCTGTGACCTGAAAGTTCCTGTATCTGATGAAAAAAATTCCAATTAAAAACTTTTAAAACAATGTGTCACCCACACAACACATCTCTGTGGGCAGTTGTGGTGGGACACAGTCTGCCATCCCTAAAAAGTGCCCCCTGGCTTTTAGGGTTCGCTTCCTTCTCTGAATGTTCTCTGAGTTCTCCTTCACAATTCTCTCTGTTACAGCAAGAAAACATCCCTCAAGTTTAGCTCCTCATGTGACTTTGATGATTTCTTGGTGTTAGTAAAATCCAATCTAAGTAAAACCTTGCTCAATCTTTAAAGGCAAATTTGTGGCTTATTTTTGTATTTCTTCCAGCACCAAGCACACTCTTGGACTCTTGGTGGGCGCCCTAGAACCATCTACTAACTGACAGGTCAAAGAAAGAGATGAAGAAAAAGCAAAGCTGCCTTAGTCATTTGGAAGTGTGCAAACCATGTTACTGTTGCCCACCACCGCCTCCAGCCTCTTGTTGAATAGTTCTATAGACACTAGGGGGCGCCCTTGCACAATTTTCTTGGGTAAAGCCTTTAAACCTTTCAGTCAAGTAATTTATTAAAAAATGCCTCCTATTTTCTTTAACGAGTCTTACTGTTTTTAATTTCTTTTCATAGGTCCAGTTTTTCTGGAACGAATGACTTTTACGACTTACCCTCTTGAATTTTATGAATTAAAAATTTTTTTAAAGCTGAAGTTAACGTTCATACGACCAGTATTTCCTTTAAGTTATTCAAGGGTTAAGCATTCAAGGGTTCAGTATTCAAGGGTTCTTCCAGGCATGTTCAAAAGTCAAGCAATGAAAATGGTTTTTAAAAAAATAATCCTTGAATATATTTTCCATGGCAGGCTAAGTAGGCAAAGATGAACACCTTAAAAATAGCAGAAACAATAGTAAAATGAAAACCCAAAGTGATAGCAAGAAAAAGCACCACGAGCATGTTTTCCTTGGCGTATGTATGTGAGTATGTGCACCTGTGTTCATAGCGACCAACAGAGGAGAGGCAGGCGAGCGATCTGCCTACAGAATCACGTCCCTCTGAGGACAGTTAACATTGCTAGTATGAACTTGACCAAAAGTTGACTAAGTTCTTACCTGGAATTTTGCTCTTAATGGCTTTGTCAATATTCTGAATGAAAACAATCAAATGACTGCCCCAGACGTTATTTGTAGAAAAGAGAAACAAATAGAATTATTGAACCAAACGTCAAGAATAAAAAGATCTCCAAAGGCTCAATTTTATCATTAATTTGAGGCTAGAAATCCTATAGCTCTCACATTGAGCAGGGCAAACTTGGGGCTGAGAACCACACTCGATGTAAGCTCAGCTCTCTAAGCCGTTCTTCCCTGGCCCTGCGTGAGCATCCCCAGTGGTGGAGGCAGCATGGGAGCAAGACCCAGGGCCCACATGAGGACCACCATGCCGGCGTGAGGAAAGAGCAGAGCCTTACCTGATGGTAACCACTGTAGTCCATGTTGCCTGGGAGTGGGAACCCTGGGGCCAGAGACAGCTCTCCTTCTAGCATTTCTGGTTTGATGAATTCCTCCAGATAGGTCCTGCAGAGTCTCCTGTCCCAGTCATCTGTGATGTGGCCTCCATACATGATCTCTCCAAAGAGGTAGCGCAAATCATCATAGGGGACCTGAGAGACAGGGGAAGGGAAGAAAGATCTCCACGCAGGCACCGGGCTGCCTGATGGACGGGCAGAGTGTAAGCCACAAAATGAGATGCTTCTCCAGATCAGGAGCAGTGTCTATTCATCTGCATACCCCCAGTGCCGCGTGGAGCTCATTAAGTGCTTGAAGAATCATGTCAAAGGGTGAGGAGAGGCGAGCGCCAAGCCCCTCACATACATGCCTTCCCGCTTTCACGGGCCTTGACTGTGGCAATGAAGTCAGGCTCTACCTACAAGTCCTTTATTTATTTATTTATTTATTTATTTTGGAGGAAGATCAGCCCTGAGCTAACATCTGCTGCCAATCCTCCTCTTTCTGCTGAGGAAGCCTGGCCCTGAGCTAACATCTGTGTCCATCTTCCTCTCCTTTATATGTGGGACGCCTACCACAGCATGGCGTGATGAGTGGTGCCACGTCCGCACCCGGGATCCAAACCTGTGAACCCAGGCCGCGGAAGCGGAACGTGCCAACTTAACCACTGCGCTACTGGGCTGGCCCATACAAGTCCTTTAAATAGGCGAATGCCAAATGGAAGAAAGTGAGGACCAGGGTACTCTTCTAATTTTCTGCCATTGATTAGCATATTAATGAATCGTCTCCTTCCCAAGTTCAAAGTGAATGAAATACAGAAGGCAAGTTCACTGGTATCACGGTTAGGAGGGAAGCCACTTGGGGAAAGGCTGTGGCAGTGCAGCAAAGGAGGGGATGGTGTTGTGGGGGTGGGCTTCCCTAGCCCCCGGAGCTGGAGGCCGAGGGATTGCTTAGGGCATCTGGGCCTGATCCACTTCCCCACCAGGAAGAGGAGGTGGCCTTGCTGATGCTTCTATGTTTGGTTCATGAACTAGAAGAGGCCTGATGTTGTGAACATGCCCTTACATGGAAGGGCATGGATCGCTAGTGTCAGTTTTCCTTGACCTGGAGATATCAGACAGAGAAGGAAGGAGATGAGGTGTAGAAAAATTTGACTTCCTCAACTTTAGCAAGACCCCACCTATGTGAGGAGCTGGGTGTCCCGAGAGAAGTTCTGTGTCCTTGGCTAATTTAATTGGCAACTTGTATCAGGTGAGTGTGGGGTCTCTCCCTGCCAATCCACAGCCCCCTGCAATGCTGTGAGTGCACAGGGGTGGTCCAGTGGGCCCTGGGACAAACATTCATGGGACTGACCCACACCAGGCTTGAGGCACTACTTTGATTTTCTAAGCCTTCTTGGCTCCAACCTCTCCATAGCACTCTTCTTGGCCTCACCCTGGTCCTGGGGTTGGCTGCTTGGTTAAACTTGCACTTCCTCACTGCACCTGGGGAGGGCATAGACCTTCCCCGGTGAGCACCCTCCTTCCGAGTGCAGATGCTGCATCATCCCTGTCGGAGGTGGCCCTCCCGACCCACCCCGCGCTGGCCGGGGCCTGTACCTTTGCATTGGCCTCCAGGAAGTTGTACAGCACGTTCACAGAGATGGTGAGGTCCCCAGTGTTGAAGGGGTAGGGACGATTCCATCCCTGCGGCCCAAACTTTCGTCTTTCTGCCACCACCGCGTGAAAGTAACAAAGAGCAAAGAGGATGCTCTTGAACTCTGTCTCTCGGGAGCACATCTCCAGGGTGTCCTGAAAGGAAAGTGTGGCCTTCAGTGTTAGCACAGAGCTGCCGTTATGCAGGGCAGGCCCGCGGGTGGGTTAGGGCGGCGGGCGGTTGGGTTGGAAAGTTACTGAATGTCCTGGTTAGGGTTTGAGCTGCAGTGGGACTATAGACGGCACCGTGGATGGCTGTGGGCTGAGGGTCTGCAGGGACCTTGCAGAGGGGTTGGGTTTAGTTTAGAATCTGAGGTGAGGTTTTGATTCAGGTTATAATGGGGTTTGGTTTATGGTTAAAGTTTGCACATATGGAAGTCCTAATTAAGTTCTCAAGCATAGCTAATAGAAAACAGGGTAGTGGGCCACAGGACTGTCATGTTTGTCATACTGATGTCCCTTTGTGCTGGGGTGTGGGTGGGGACTCCCACAGCATCATCTCTGATTTCTTCCCTTCCTGTCATACTTTTCTTGCCCGTCATGGAAACTTAACAGGTGTAATGACTGCCTGTGAGACCGAGGAACCGCGGCTCGTCTGCTGGGAGAGCTGCTGAAAGGAGGGAGACGAGGGCAGTCAGAGCCACAGAGCCCAGAGGAGCTCCGTGCCCTCGCCATCCCGACTGCTCCACTCAGCCTGAGCAGGGGGATCAACGTGCACTGCAGAAACAGGAGCACCGACGGGGCCTGGCTGCAGAGCACAAGGCAGGGAAAGACGAGGCTCATGAAGTGGGGATGAAGGGAGGGACAGACAGAAGAAAAGAGAAGCAAGAGATAGTCCAGAGAAAGGCAATGCCATTGTGCTTGGCCGATTTTAAGGAGGATGGTGGCGATGGCGGGGAAGGGAAAGCCTGAACTTTGAAGAGATGGTAGGACAAGAACCCCTGGAATTTTTGGAGTTAAAAACAATTTTCTCTGAGTGAGACCTTCTCTGCTCAGGAAGGAGTAAGATGTTGCAGATGGAGCCCAAGAGAGGCACTGTCACAGCTCAGGCAAATTGGATTGGGTTCAGTGCTGGCATTTCTTCTAAGAACTGGTCCTTAGACCTTGCTCACATGGGCAGGAGCTGCAGAGGAGGCAGGCCAGATGAAGCTTCTGATAGGCTTTATTTTTCCAGGGAGAACCCGTGACACAGTCTCTATCTCTCTCTGGATATGTGGGGGTCACTCTGGTGTCTTTGTTGGGTACCATGTTTGCCACAAAGGTTTAGATGTGAAAGGTCAGAGGTGGTGCAGGGGACAAAGTCACTGCCCCATGCAAGCAAGAAGTTAATAGCAGCTTTCTGGACACAGCTGTTCTCTACTGATGTGTAGGATGCTTCCTTTGTTACTTTTGACACATTTGAAAAAATTGGGTCCTGCTGAAAAATGCCTGTAAGCACAAAGACAGGAAGTCACACATTAAAATGCTGAAACTGGTTGACAGTGGCACACTCAAGCAAAAGTCAGAATAAAATAACCATCCCCAGAGAGCACCGCTATCAGGGAAGCAGGGACAAAAAGAGCTCAGTGCTGTAATTAGTGCCTTAAATGGTTAAAATTGGGCTCCAAAGAAAGAGAGTGAATAATAGGGGGTATTAACCAGCACCCTGCTCCAGGGCGCTCGTAAACGCAGAATGGAACAATTAAAACTCCTGTGAACAATAAATATACTCATAAATCTATCTCTCTTTCTCAGAGTGAATTACTGAAGATGGCTATAAATGGCTAAAACACCAACTGTGGAAGGGACAGAATAACCAGGAAAAGCCAGTATCTCTTGGGATATACGTCCCAGTTGCCTGATGATAACCCAGCCTGGACATCCGGCTTGCAGGGGGATAAGCCCAAGAACAAGAGCCCATAGGGAGGCTGAGAAGATGAAGCCCAGTATGGCTACGGGTGATAACACTCCTCTTGAGGCATAATATTGTGCTGTTAATGATCAGGAGACATAGCATGTGAGGCATCTGCTGCCCTCCTCCCTGGCTCTGCCCAAGACCCTCAAGGCAGAAGAGCTCGAAATGGTCTGTCCCTGCATCCTTCAACAGAGCTAGCAAACTGCATTCCAATGCCCTAGTTTTCAACTTTTCATTTAAAAAAAAATTGTGGTATAGATGGCTAACAGGTACATGAAAAGATGCTCAACATCACTGACCATCAGGGAAACGCAAATCAAAACCACAATGAGATATCACTTCACACCTGTTGGAATGGCCATTATCAAAAAGACAAGAAAAATCAAGTATTGGCGAGGCTGTGGAGAAAAGGGAACCCTCGCACACTGATGGCAGGAACGTAAACTGGTGCAACCATTATGGAAACCAGTATGGAGGTTCCTCAAGAAATTAAAAATAGAACTACCATATGGTCCAGTAATTTTACTTCTGGGTATTTATCTTAAGAAAACAAAAATACTAACTTGAAAAGACGTCTGCACCCCGTGTTCATTGCAGCATTATTTACAACAGCCAAGATATGGAAACCACCTAAGTGTCCACTGACGGATGAATGAGTAAAGAAGATGTGGTATATACATACAATGGAATATTACCCGGCCTTAAAAGAGAAGGAAATCTTGCCATTTGTGACAACATGAGTGGAGGTTGAAGGTATTATGCCAAGTGAAATAAGCCAGACAAACACAAATGTGATCTCACTTACATGTGGAATCTAAAACACAAAACAAAACAAAAAATCAAGCTCCTAGATACAGAGAACAGATTGGTGGTTGCTAGAGGCGGGGGGCCAGGGGTTGGCAAAATGGGTGAAAGGTATCAAAAGGTACAGATTTCCAGTTATTAAAAAAATTGTGGCAAAATGTACATAACACAAAATTTACAGACAACCATTTTTAAGTACACAGTTCAGTGGCATTACGTGCATTTACATTGTTGTGCAACCCAATGCCTTTTTAGGGCAGAAATGTCTTTGCCTGGAACCAGCTACACCCTCCTGTATAGAATCAAAGTTAAGAATGTGTATTTTCCCTAGGTGGAATATAAAGTCTAGAAAATTTAGAAGTTTTGACCTCTGGTACAGAATACCTATGAGTTTAGTCAAGGCCTATTTAGGAAAAAAAAGAAAAAGAAAGAAAAAGAGATGCCCTTGGATGAGACTGCCCTCTACCTTCTGCCCCATGTTGCAATGGGCAGGTAATTCTTTTTTTTTTTTTTTTTTGAGGAAGATTGGCCCTGAGCTAAATCTGTGCCATCTTCCTTTATTTTGTATGTGCGATGCCTGCCACAGCATGGCTTGATAAGCAGTGCGCAGGTCCATACCCAGGATCCAAACCTGTGAAACCCGGGCTGCTGAAGCAGAGCACGTGAACTTAACCATTACACCACTGGGCTGGCCCTGGCAGGTATTTCTTAACAAAAACGGCAAACTAAAATATCCTGAATCTCCTGGTAATGTCCCCCTACTCTCCGTTCCAGATTACACGTGGGTTTTGGAGTTGGTTTGGGAAGGTGAGTGAAAAAGAAGGAGACTGGGTAAGTTTGCTTTTCCAATCTTTGTGGCTGCTTCCCTCTCCAAGCTGGACTGCTTGATTCCTACATTATGAAGGGGCTCAAGCACTCAGTAAAAGCTTGAGACTGAGTGCCAGGTGGTCTTCATCTGATTTTAAGTTAAACCAGGCCCCAAAGGGCCGCTGGTCCTGGTGGCTTATGTCATGTTAGCTGGAACGTTGTGCTGTTGGACGGGCTACTTCGAGTTACCTAGATGACCCAGCTGGGACCGTGGTGAGTTTTAGCATGGGTTCTGTAAAGCTAGAGACCCACTGGTGTTCTTATAAGATGGCGTCAGAGAGGACAGATCCCAGAACCCTCCCCTTGGATTCCGCCAAGGCCCAGTGTGGCAGATGGATTTTAAGGACTCCACTCTTCTGCTGTTCACATCTGTGTGTATTCCCCTTCCCAGGAAAGTGGAAGGCCCCAGGGAGGAAGCAATGAGGAGGGACGTCTTCCTGAGAAGATTAAAGAGGCTCGAGCTTCAGACTTTGCAAGTGCTACTTTATGTATGAAGTTGGCCTTCCACAATACAAGTCTTGGAATTCCAGTAATGTAGGAGCCTGCATTTGAAACTTATGCCTTGATATTCTTAATCTCATTGTAGCATAGTGTTCTCAGAGTTGACTGCACAATAGAATCCCCTAGAAGATTTGCTAGAACACAGATTCCTGGGCCGCCCCCTCCACCCCCAACCCCAAGTTTCGGACTCAGGAAGTCTAGGGTGGGACCTGAGAATTTGCATTTCTAACAGGTTCTCAGGTGATGCTGCTGCTGCTGGTCTGGGGGCCACAATGGAAGAGTCTAAGACATGGTTACATTCCCAGTCCAGATCCCCACTATCTGATGCCTGGATTATTTGAATCCTTGATATTCAAGATGCATGCAGATGTCAACTGTTATCATCTAAACAAGGGCATCATCCCCCTGCTTGAAGATAGTTTGTGTGGCCAATAAGTGTGTGACCAGTATATCATATCAATGAGATTCATAGCAACATGTCCTTCTCCATCTTGGAATATTTAGTTAGCATATAGACTTGCAGAAAGTTCCCCCATAACTCTTGCCAAAGAAACTCTTGCCCTAAACTTAGATTCCCCAAGTGTATCTGGGAATTGAGAGCTGAGAGCTGTACTCAGTGGGCACTGGCTGGGCATTGCTCCAAAGCGCAAGTGATACCCCACTCCACCCCCAACTGCAGGTTCTTCTCCCATCTGGCTTGAATCAGCTCTTTGTAAGGTGGGGTGCTCATCTTCCCTCCCTGGGCTGTACCTGAGAGAAGTTGTCCAGGGCCTTGTGCAGGTTGGCATGCATGCCCGTGGGAGGCTCATTGGTGATCTTAATGGAGTTCTCCAGGATGCCCTGGGGGATGATGTGGCTCTCAGGGGAGGCCGCAGGCTCTGCACTGATGAAGACCCTGAACTCTGGGTGGCTGTTCTCGCTGTGTTCCTCCAGCTTCTTCTCCAGGGTGCTGAGCCACTTGGCCACCAGGTGAATGTTCTGGTGGGAAGGAAGGACCCCCCCGCCAATGCAGGCATATGCTCAGTTCTGTTAGCATAAACAGTTATCAGGAAGCCATCTAGAGCAGGGACCTGGTCTTAGCTTCAAATAAATCACATCATAGCATGAATCTTGGGATGCCCAGTAATGGGGACTTCCTAGTATCCTATAATTGAATCCTATCCCTTGATATCTTAAGTCTCTCTAGCGCCATGTTCTCAAACTTGACTACACATTGGAATCCCATGCAGCGCTTGTTAAAACAAAGGTCCTTGGGCTCCACTCCAGAGGGTTCGATTCACCAGGTCTAGGATGGGGCCCGAGAGTCTGCATTGCTAACAAGTTCCCCAGTGATGCTGATGCTGCTGGTCTGGGGGCCACACCCTACATGGTGACATTCCAACTCCAGATCCCCTTCTCTGACACCTGGCTTATCTTAACTGTTGATACTAAAACGTGGGGCCCTTGGACCAGCAATGTTGGCATGACCTGGGAGCTGGTGAGGCACGCAGACTCTTGGACCCCACCCAGACGTACAAAATCAGTGCACTTTAAGAAGATCCTCTAGTGATTTGCATGCACACTGAAATTTGAAAAGCACTGATTTAGACTCATTGCAGCTAGCTTTCCTTCCTCTCTTCCCCTCTTCAAACTATTCCGCTAATTGATGCCAAATTTATCTTCCTAAAACACACTGAGACATGGCTGCTCACACAGTGGGAAGGCTCCTTACTCCAAGCCCAAGCTCCTCTGTGTGGGTCTTTGAGCCCTTCTCCTCCCGCCATGGGATTCCTATCTGTCTGTGTGTCTATCTAAACCTACATTTACGTCTTAGCACTACTTTGTGGAATGCACCTTTCACTTTAATAAAAATAGTCACTTTGCTTCATTGCAATGTTTCGTTATGATGGATAGATAAAAGCTCCTCCATAAATATTTTAGGAAGCCTGCTCACAGAGCCTTAAACACACAGATCGGCACAGAGTGCAGTAACTGGGCCCGAGCAAGCAGGTCTCCAAATGCTGCTTTCTCCTCTATGGGATGAGAAACAACAATGATATTTGCCATACTTGTTTCACAGAGCTGCTGCAAACAACTGAAGGTATCACATTTGAAAGGGCTTTGTAAACTGTAAAACGCTCTGTAAGAGTTAGTAGTGGTTGATGTAATGAAAATTTGTTCAATTAAAGAATTCATTTATAGTCACTCCACCGGAGTGGAGAATTTAGGGGTTGCCTGGAGAACCAGGGTTCTGCCAGCCAGGCAGTGCCAGTGACCCACCACTGAGTAACTGCTACTTCTGCAGGAGTTCCAATTCTGAGTTTAATCTGGAGAGCTCTCAGAAATCACAGCAGCACAAGACGTGGGGGTCCTGAACAGCTGGTAGGTGCTGGGGGAGGAAGCACCCTCGTTCATTGTCTGGGTGGCTGGGTTCCCTAAGGAGCTAGTGCCCAGAAGGCAGTCTCTTGGGCAAATGAGCCTGAGACAGTTGGGGAGGTCACACTTTCCCAGCAATAAGCGGATCATCATGGGAGGAAGCACAAATCCCAGCTGTCATCATCTTTTCTCCTGAGATTCCCACTGTTTCTGGAAAAAAGGTCCCAGAGAACAGCAGCTTCCTCAGCTGCTAGGCTCTGAATAAATAATAGGATAATTAAGGGTGAAGACCCAGCAGCAAGAGGTGGTTCAGCGAGTGGCCAGGGGACAGAGGAAGGTCTTGATAATCAAAGCTGGGACCGGATGGGAGTGGCTGTTCTTTTCATTTGTTTTTTCTTTCATTGATGCCTTCGTTGATTCTTCCACCCAACAGATTTTGTTGAGTGTCTACTACGTTCAAGGTAGCGTACGGGGTGCTGAAAGGTAAATAGGGAACATCTCTTTCCCTAAGGAATGTGGTGACGGGCACAGTCATATAATAAATCACTTCAACACAGCCACGGACGCTCTAGTAGAGGTGGTTGTAGGGTGTTATAGGAGAAAAGAGGAGTAAGCCACTGGTTCTGCCACCACCTCAGCATCCATGCAAGTTACATAAAACAGGAATCGGAGAACAGACCATGACAGAAGAGGGATAGCCTCTATGTCCTGTAAGCGTTCAGTGAAATTACCAGCAGTAGGTGTTCTGGATTTCCAACCACCAACATGAGCTCTCCATGAAGAGGTTAAGTTCTAGTTATACACGTCACATTCTAGTCACACATGTAAGGAAGAGCATACAATGCATAACACAATAAGAAAGTACAGGAGAGGAAGGTTCTGTGAAATGCATGGGAAGAGAACAGAAGCTGAAAAAATCCAGCCGCCATGGACTTCAACTGAATGGCAACTTCCTGAGCGTGCATCAAGCTAGGACTTGCCTTCCTTTTGTAAGTAGAGCCATTGAAACTAGAGAGTGGCAGGAGCTTGTGAGGAGCGGGGAGAAGAAGAGCTGTTGGGGGTGGGGTGAGGATGAGAACATACGAGGCAGGAGAAATGGAGAGTAGATTAGGAAGTGAAGGGACAGGAGTGTGAAGGGAAAGGCAGGAGAGAGAGGAAGAGAGGACGCGGGAGTCCAGAAATGTGATTGAGGTCCAGACAGGTATGGGATCAAGGGTGACCCGATCAGGGCAGAAGAGACATACCTGCAAAATAACCCAGTGACCTTTCTTGGCAGCTAGGTCCAGCGCGGCCTCAGCCACTACCTCCTGTCCTTGCCCCAGAGACACGTTGTGAAAGTTCCGATTGTTGAAGGTGTACCCAAGTTTTTTACCTAAAAGGAGTATGGAGTTGTCATTATTATCTCCTGTGTCTAATGATCTGTGTTGTTTGACGTTCAGAGGGAAATGCACACTTCCATATCGCTCCTCAAACACAGGCATGCCTGAACCCAGACCCCAAGCCTCTCACACTGACGCTTTTCCCTCACAGCGCGGTGGGGGGCAGGCAGTGTGCAACATTTTCCAGCTTTCTGTCCCCAAATAAACGGAAGCACTTGTCTAGACCCAAGGTGCTTCACCCCTCGCTCCTCACTTAATCCCCAGGAAGGGGTAGAGGTGCTGCTGCTCTTCGGTACAGCTTCCATTTGAAGGCCCGGCATTGGTCCGCCACTTGAGACAGCGCAGATGTGAAAAGGCTCAAAGCGGAGCAAGCACGTGGCTGTGGCCCCTTCTGACTTGCTCCGTCCTCTGAATTGCTATTTTCCCTGGAACTTTACTGGGAGGCATGGCCAGCAGGGGCAGGATTCAGGCAGCTTTAGCTTCCTGTGCTTTACTCCATAGTAACCTCCTTCCCTGTTATTCCCAACACATAGAAACATTTTATCTCATCATTTTGCATGAATTAGAATGAAGAGAGGCAAGAGGCAAGACAAGAAGGGGCTTGGGCGCATGGGTGTGAGTGTGCTGTGGGACGTATCTCGATAATGTCTGTTGGATGATGCTGGTGTTGGGCATGGAGTAACGGAACAGCTACACCAACATAAATCTCACGATCACATCACTGGAGCAAGGCCACTGCTCAGGAGTTGTTCTCCAAGCCCAAGAAAAACCACACACAGAAATGACCTTAATATACAGAACCACTTCCTTTTTTTCTTTTTTTTTAAAGATTTTTAAATTTTTCCTTTTTCTCCCCAAAGCCCCCTGGTACATCGTTGTATATTCTTAATTATGGGTCCTTCTAGTTGTGGCATGTGGGGCGCCGCCTCAGCATGGCCAGACGAGCAGTGCCATGTCCACGCCCAGGATCCAAACCGGCTAAACCCTGGGCTGCCACAGCGAAACACGCAAACTCAACCACTCGGCCACGGGGCTGGCCCCTGGAGAACCACTTCTGCTTGGACATCAGCTATTAGTGCAATACAATAAAGTTTAGAGAAATTGCCTAATATTCTTTAGATGAAGGGATTATAAAAATGTATTATACTGTGAAGGAATCAATGGGCAATCTTTCCAGGAAGGTGAAGTACACAAGAGAAAACAGAAGAAATTGAAAAACAGAAAAAGAATAAAAACCTGTACTTAAAAATTGACTTTCAGGGGAACTAAAATTGAAGATGCGATTTGAGACTTGTGCAAGAAAATTTTAAAAAACCTGTCGACATTGGATATTTCTTTTAAACACTAAAAAAAGTATAAACTCTCTTTCAACTGGATAAGACAAAGCAAGATGCTGACTTTTTGTAGCGAGGAATAGTTATTACAGATTCAACTGAGATGAACCCAAGAAATACCCTTATTAAACAATAAATCCTAGCTGGCAATAGATTTGATGTCAGTTTTAGAACCAGAGATATAGACAACTTATTCTGGAGAAAATACCAGGACAAAGGTGCTGAGATTTTTAGATATCATCGGTGACATTGCTGCTCACAAAAGAACCTATTTTTTTTTTTTTTATTAGCAAGAGAAGGATATGGGAAAAGAAGGGCTTAATGAAGACTAGTTTGAAATCTACAGACTCGAGGGACTGTTGGGGGCAAAGTCTAGCCCCGCACAGAGAAGCTAGATCAGTTTGCATTAATCTAGGCTTGAGGCATGACGACAAGGCTGAGGAGAAAGAAATGGATCTTGGAGATGTTGAGAAGCAGAAAAATTGATGGGATTCGCACAGACTGAACACTCAGCCAAAGATGACTGCACCTCCTTTTAGCCTTGTGATGTGCTGAGGCAACCTTGCAGAGTCCTTCCATTTGCAGCTGAGGCTCTCAAGATGCCTTCCTGGGTCATCAGCAAGCCTCTCCAGCCAGCTATGTTCTCTTGGGTTTTCATCCTTATACTGTTTGTGCTATGGCTTCCGTCCCTCCGCCCTACTGCCTTTAACTCATTTTCCCTTTCTGATCTTCCCTCTAACTCTCCATCTGGTGTGTCATCTGGACCATGGGCCATAGTAACATCTATGCGCCTTTAACATCCTCACAGCATGCTTCTTCAACCTCCAGCTTCTCTGAGGACAATGCAATTTCTGTGGCCCTCTCCCTAGTTCCACATACCCACGGGGCTGGGAGAAAGGGGAACATTTTTCTGGCCTTCTCTTGCTACTTGCAAGCTATTTATTCTCCACTCTCATGTAAAACTCTTTCTCTTTTAAAAACACATGCCATCTGGCTATATTGTCTACTAACTTTTAGGTGGTCTGCCTTGTACCAACTTCCCAGTGAGATTAACTTTTCTTAGCGGCTTTGGAACTTGGTTTAAAATCTTGCATACTTCCTGTCTCATCATTATCCTGGTAAATTTTAATGTCACTATGGATGATGCAGCCAACATCTAGCCTCATGCTCCCTCATCTTCAAAGGATTTAACTCTATGCCATTTCTGTTACCCATTTCCAATGGCTGCACCCAGGACTTCATTATCACTGAGATCAGCCCCATGTCTGAAATGTTACTCATTCATATCTACCCATGACTATCACTTCCTACTGTCTATATTGATTGCTGTCTTACTCGCTCCTCACCTATTCTACTTTCGTCAAATGTCCAGTCCATTAGCTCTTCTATTTTTTCTAATCTTCACTTTTATTTCTCTTATTTTAATATAAACCCAACAATCCTTAATTTGAGCCATGATCTTACAAAATCCTCAACTCCATTGACCATGCTATTTCTGCATCACCCAATTTTTATAAATCTTCAGTCTTGGACAAATCTAAGCGTTAATAGAAGAGAAAAATAATACATTTGGTGAATTGGAGCCACCACAAGTTTATGATTCTCAGCTTCAATGCTGTTTGGTAATCTTTCCATGTGTCCAGAAGTTGGCTACATTGCCCATTCCCTTCTTCCTTCAAACTTCCTAATGAACCCGACCCTTCTTATGCTCAGCAGTTTGCTTCACTCTCTAGTTTCCTGAGAAAACATATGCCATCGGGTGGAAACTCCTTCAATTCGCTGTCATTTTATCTGCATCTCTGTGCACCCCTATTATGTGTCTATCCCCGCACATCTCCATTTCAATGGAAGAGGTGCCCTCCTGCTGCCCATCCCTCATCTCTTCTCTAAATCCCATCTCTTCTCTATCCTCAACCTTTATCTCTCTAGTCATTCCATTCCCTGGCACATGAACAAATGAGTCTCTCTCAAGACAAGACATAATACTCAGCCAATCTTGAAGCTGAGGCAATCTTGAAGATTGCCCTTGCTCCAACCTAGCCAACTTTCAACTGACTCTTAAAGAAAAAGAATGGGGCCAGGAACAATTAAAAAGAGACTCTAAGCCAAGTGTTGATAATCTGGCTGCAAAGACACTGAACTGAAAACTGCTTCTTTGAACACACCTGGTAGCAGGCCTACAAAAATCTAAGCTCGTAGTTCTGACGGCACCTGGAAAGAGAAAAAGGAGGCAGTGGAACGCAGAGGTGGGACATACAGCTTCTTTCTGATCACAAAATGGAAATAACAGAATTCATTTCGTCAAAGCCAGCTCACTGGACAAAGGAGGATTGAGACCAAGCAAGATCATGCTAGAGTCAAGTGAAAGAAAGACCAGAGGAGATGCCTGCGTAAGGGCAGAAAGTGGAGGTCCTTTGCTGGGAGGGCCAAAGACGAAGCTATGCTTTGAAAGAATGTGACAAAAGGATGCAAAGGAAGGAGCAAACTGAGCTGCCTCAAAGCACAAACGAATCATCGTCATCATTATAATGCTGTACAGCGCTACCGTACTTTTAATGTTTCAGAGCCTCCTCACATCTGAGGTTTCATTTTTATCATCGCAGTAACCCCAGGAGGAAGGTATAATGGATGATTGGAAACAATAGCTGATTGCTTTTAGATGAAGCAAAAGCAAAAATAAATGTACAAATAAGGAAGCATGGCTCATTCAGGAAGGAGGTGATGAGAAAAAGAGAGAGGAGGAGGGTAAAATTAAAGCGTTGTTAAGGGATTCATCTGGAAAGGCAAAAAGGAAAGCAGTGTGGGTAGGTGGTGGTAGGTTTCATGTTAAAACAGAGGCCAAGAAAAGTGGACGGAATTTCTTCTTACTTCTCTTCCTCCTCCTCTCCCACCCCCTCCTGCTTCTTCAAAGTTGTTGAGGAAGGAAAATCCTGGGGGAGACTAAGAGACACAAAAGTGCCAGAAAAGCATAGATTCCTAATTAAGGGTCAATGGATGAGCTTAAGGGGCTTAGAGAACTCCCAAAATCATCTACAGAATTTTGCCTGTCTGTAGGTTCATGCATTTGAGGGTTGTGGTAGTGGAATGAGGACAAGGGAACAAATCTTTCTTTTGACTTTCAGAGTTTTAAAACCCTACCCAATATTAAGAACTGCCATGACGAAACAAAGGGATAGAGAAATGAAGGAGTTAAGAACACAACTCTTAAGAACATAAATCACATACTCAAAGATGGGAAAGGATACCAAGCTTTGTAGAGTCTAAATGGAGTAAAACAGTGAACTGTCTGATATAGAGACTCTGCCCAAACACAGAGATAGTTAGTTTACCTAATAAGCTGGGGCTAGGGGAAATAGGGGGAAGTGTTTGAGTCCGTCATGCGAATTCCAAACTTGAGAATAGGAGCCATCAGGCAAACTATTAGATCCAAGATGCAGAAAACATGGATGTCACCAGAGTATATGTTCTAAATGCGTGAATTAGAAAATAAATCAAACCATCAAGAAGGCAGGGAAGGAGGAAGAGAGAGAGAAAGAGGCACAGGTGCCTAAGTAATCTCTAGCTGATGAACAGCAATATTGCCTCTGGTAAGGAAATATGCGATAAGATTAAGCCAAGGGCAGGGCTGAGAGAATGTATTCAGAGACAAATAACCAATA